TGCATTGTTTCATGGGATTTCCGCTGTCTCAGCATTGGTACCTTTTGCATAGTGTCAGATTTCTTTTTTCCATTCCGGACTGTACTTAAGGTGTTTCTACAGTTCCCTATGTCCTTCAGCTCAATGGTGTATATTTTTCCAGCTCTGGTTCTATCAGTTGCATCATCATGTGTTAATGCTTTGGTTCACTTTCTGACTTCACAGCTCTTTATTCCTGTTACCAATATGCAGAAGATCAGTTCATTGTTTAATACACATTAAGCAACCAGATGCCAATTTTTGTTGCCTTTTTTTTGGTGTCGCCCTTGCGAAATGGCTTTTGGAATTCCTAGGAATTCCTAGGAATTCCCAACCATAACAACTCTGGTTCTAAAAACCTAGAAATTCCCAGAAATTCCCAGAAATTCCCAGAAATTCCAAGTTTATAGCCAACAGGACTTGGAATTCCTAGGAATTCCTAGGAATTCCAACTCAGAGAACCAATGACTTTCCCTGAAAAGCTGTAAATCTAAAAAATTCCTAGGAATTTCTGGGAATTTTTGGGAATTTTTAGGAATGTTTAAGAATTACTGGGAATTTTAAACAAAAATTTGAGGCTAATGATATAAAATAAATACTTTAAATTAAAAAAACCCAGCTAAAATTCAAGTATTCAATGAAATTTATTTAGAAGCTTAATTAAGGCTTACATGTAAAATATTTTTGATTAATTATTAACATCAATGTGTGGTAATATTAGGATAGAATTTGATTTATTTTTCTTTTCTTGAAAACTTCATACGGATTAATCCTCAATTACAGCTATTCATATAAAATAGTTCTAATCAATCATTAAATTTGGTTTGACACAAATTGTGAATAAAATCTGTTGATTCTTTTTCATAAAATACAATATCTTAAGTTATATTTGAAAACCAAGCACTCTTGGGAGTGAAGGGGCTAATTACAGACAAATAAAATTGATTTTTTGATTAAAATCTTGTTGTAACTGTAACAATAAATTAGAATGAAGTTATCCTAAACTGCAAACTTAGCTGCTGTTTGTACTGTTTGTATTTTTTTTTCCTGGGCTCACAATGAGTTGGCCTTGAATTAGGTGGTCTACAAGAACCTTGACCATTTTGTATCTGGATTCCTTGACATCTGAATTTGAAAAAAAAAAATATATTAAAATATGTATATTTAAAGCTCAGACCAGGCTTTTAAGATGGCTATGAGGAAAAGGGCATTCATTGGATTCTCAAATTGAGAAATCTCTGTTATATTGAGTGACTTTTATATTGGAGTTAGTACATCTCTCTCATGGATTTTTTACTAAAAAGGGCTGAATACATTATTTTGTTTTTACCAAGGAGGGCTTCTTTATGTACTAAGGTTTGTTTAATAACAGTTCCTATTATGAATCTTGAATGTTCCCAAACGTGACTAGAGGAATCTTGAAACCTTACTGATAGGTTTATTTCATTGTAAAGCATAAGCTTAAGAAACTGCGGCATGCAAGTGACCGATTCGATTCTCAGAATTATTCTAGTTTCAGTTGCGCCGAGCGTTATGTAAGCTTAATTCAACCCGCTACATCTATTCTTTTATAAGATTTTGATCACGTAACGAATATCGCAATTTTTACTCACCACAAACTTTCAAAATCGTAGCTTTACAGATGGCCACTCGATCCTTGTTTGTACCAGTCAATATGTCAACTGTAGTCCCTTCTTTTAACTCCACGGCGCCAACGACTTTCTTTTCTTTTACAACACTCACGCTATTCTCGTTTTCCCATTGAACCACAATAAAAGCTATCTTTAGAAATGTTATATTAAGCAAAACAGTTGAGAAAAGCGATCAACCGATGAAAAGTACATTCAAAGATGAGCGCCAAATGGAGTCTTCTTTGTTTCCGATCACGAGCATGATCACGTGGATCTTTTAGGACTTGTCATTGGCTAGCAGAGTGAATCCGCTGGCTTGCCGATTGCAGTGTTAAGAGAAGCGCCCAACTTTATTCTGACTTCTCCGACCCGTTCTCTGCTTCGAGAAGATGGATAGCTTGGTGATATAAATAAAGATGTGAGCTCACTCTATGTAGAAATAATCGACAAGAATCGATCGTATTACAAATGCACGATTTGTGGCCGAAAGTTGTCGAGGAAACAAAGACTCGAAACTCACTTGAGTTGTGTTCATGGCAAAGGTGAGAAATAACACAAGCCAATCACAGTTTTGAATGCGACTACAAATCGTCTTTTACCCTCATATATATAAAAGAAGGATACCACATTAGGAAGTATAAGAGATACATAGATGATCCCAGTGTACCAGTACCTAAATCTACCAAGCTTGACCGTAGCAAGCGTTCAGCAACACGTTCCAACACCGCCATCTCGATTCCTCAGTCAGTCGTTTCCACTGAACTTAAAGCAGTATTGACAACAGAGTAGAGTGCGTCTTACAAAGGAGAAACATTTGTACAAGAGACAGACGTAGCTATATGCGATTACAGAGGTGCGTTGGAACTCTGGTCCACAAATAGTTATGCACTGCCCGAAGTATAAAACAATTTTGTTGATAGCTGACAGACAGAGAAGAACAACAAGTAAACTTAAGAGCTGTTATTATTGAAGTGTGACTAGCACTTTTCATTTTTATATAAAGAAGGACTTGTAATTTGTACCAAAAATAAAAAGATGTTATATTTTTTGGGAGATCCAGTGATTGGGACATTTAAGAAATTAAGTTATGAAAGGAAACTTGGTTGGTACTTCTCACTACTAACAAGTCTTGTTGACAAATATTTTCAGATCAGAGTTTCAAATAAAGTAAATTGAAGACGTCATATAAAAGGTGTTTTTTCTCAAAGGGAACATTGACTACCTCTGTCTTGTCTGCATGCCAAATGTTTGCAAAGTGTGTGGATGATCCACAAGTATTGGAACTCTTACAAAAATGTTTTGTAAGAATAAAAACAGCAAAACAAATCACAGCAATTAGTCATGAAAATAGAGCAAAAAACTGGAAAAAAAAGCAGCAACAATGATCATGAAAAAAGAAAGATTAATTAGGTGTTGAATTTGTTTGTCTAAGGCATGAAATTTCTACTAAAAGTATTGTCAACAAAAAGTCTCTGACAGCGTTTGAGGCAACTGAGCTTGACTGTTCCAAGGTTTTCTAACAAAGGCAAACAGTAATGTAGGTTAGGGAAGTAAGATAACAATGTAATTATTGTTAATTATTGTGGAAGTTGGCAATTTCCATTTAACATAACTGACAGCTGGTTCATGAGAAAATCCATATTAATGTAAAGATTTACTAAAACTTAGTTTGAATAATAAATTTCATGATCTTTAAGTTATAAACATGTACATGTATGTATATCTCTTGGTAAGTTTTGTATAGCATACCTTTTATTGAGCCAAAGTTTTAAGCCTCTGAAATTACTCTTTTTCTTAAAACCTTCACATTCAAGGTATTGAGAATTTCTTAGAATTTATGTGGACCTCAGGGTATTAAAATTGTCTCAAATTCAATTCCCAGAAATTCTCAAGAGTTCCACACTTCTTAAATTATAGGTAGTTTGTAAAGCTGAGAATTCCTAGGAATTCCTAGGGATTCCAAGTCCTCACAAAACTGGAGTCTTCCTTTCCCAGAAATTCCCAGTAATTCCAAGCTTTTTAAATCAGAGTTAATTTGCATAGTTGGGAATTTTTGAGAATTCCTAGGAATTCCCAGAAATTCCCAGAAAACTGGGAATTCAGTTTGCAAGGGTCATTTGCATAATTGGGAATTTTTGAGAATTCCTAGGAATTCCCAGAAAACTGGGAATTCAGTTTGCAAGGGCAATTTTCCCGTCTTCATGGTTGACGCTATGAAATAAGCAGTGCTCAACAATGGAAACTGTTGGGTTCTATGTGATTCCCAACTGGTAAATTTTTAGCTTTTTGGTAGGTTTCCTTTTTCACAGCACTGTTCTGAGAATTATTTGTTAAACTTTTTTTCAAGTTCTCTCTTTCAAAAAGGTCCAATCCTCCACCTGATTACCTTTCAGACTGATTTGAACAGGTGTAATGACTTGCTGATTAAAGACTGTCGTATGCATAGGCTGTGGGAATAATTCTACATAACTATACTGTTTACTCTTCATTAATCAAAAATAAATTAGTATCAGTGGCTAATTAAAGACCATCATATGCTTAGGACGCAGAAATGGTTAAAGCTACACACACTGTCCTGTCTCCTTTGTCACTTATCAAAAATGAATCAGTATTAGTGGTTGGTTAAGGACCATCGCAGTGTTCAACACTCAAGCTGGAATTGTGCTACACACTATTCTGTTTCCTTTGTTGCTCATGGTAAATAAATCAGTGTCACCATCCAAACACATCAAAAAAAATTTTAAATTATCACTTGGTGCTTTGATAAGAATATATTGTTTCAAAAAGTGTGAAACATATAACTGGCTGCCTTTATAAGAAAAGGATCTTAAACTTAAAAATACATTTTATGCAACCTCTAAGCATCAGGCTTGAGACAAGAGCTTAGGTTGATATTCTTTATCATATATTTTGATCTGAGTACAGTATAAGCTTAGTTGTACAAACTGCAGATGTGTTCAGTTTTATTTAATGTTTGCCACCAGATATGTGATTATTCATATCTTCCAGAGATTTTACATTTATATGGTACAAGGTCATATAAATACACAAATCTATATTGGCTTTGACACCCATTGTGATTGATTTTGTCTTTTTCAGTTATTATGACTGATGATTTTAAAATGATTGTCTTTGTAGATTTGTGCAGTGAAGAAGATAATTTTTAATAGAATTCTGTTCCAAAATAAATTTAACATTAACTTCTACAGTTGGATCAATTAAACACTGATTAAATGGGCTGGACTGGAGGCTATTCATTGTGTCCAGGCTTAATTATGGGAAATTAAATCACAAGGTAATAAGTTGCTGAATTCTAGTTTTTATATTTTCTGTACTGCTTTTATTTTCAGAATGGGAAAGGTAAAATCAAAAAGAGCGAAAACTGATGAGAACAGTTTAAAGAACATTTATGGTGACCCACCAAAGATTAATTTTAGTCTTCCAGAGATAAGTGAACTAACCCAGGATTTTAAAGATTGGAAGGATGTTCAACTCCCAGTTGACATTCTGTTGTTAACAGTGAAGGACTGTGAGTTCTTAAGTTGTTACTATTACATTAATGATCCATTCAAAAGCTATGTTAAAGGGCTTGGTACTTGGTACTTTGGCACTCTAGGTGAAAATCAAGATGTTAAACTGAATGTGGCTTTGATGCAATACTCAGAGGGTTCTAAAGTTCCTGGTGGTGCTTTGACTGTTGTAAAGAATGCTGTCACTCAGCTGAGGCCAAAAGCTGTCTTTACTGTGGGTCACTGTAGTGGTATGAATCAGGAAACAACAAAGCTGGGGGATGTGGTTGTATCAGAAAAGCTCACAACCTATTCCTATCAGAAGGTTACAAAGGATGGAAAGAAATTTTGTGGGTTCACAACTCCTGTAAGCAGAGACATCGCTGAAATCATCAAATGTGCAGGTCATGGTTGGAATCCACCCCTGGAAAATCCTAAAGAAAGGAAAGTTGAAGTCCACTGTGGTGAGGTTTTGAGCGGTACTGAGGTTGTGCAAGCTGAGTGGCGACAAGAGGAGCTAATGAAGTCATTTCCTGGAGCAATTGCAATTGAAACAGAAGGAGAGGGTAAGATCTCTTTTTCCTATGAAGTAACCGTCACTGTAAAATCTGCTCAAAGAGGTATTTGGGTATATTTGTATCCTGGGAGAGAAAGAGTTGATACTGATATGTGGTAGGTAAGCTTTTCTGCAAGTGTTGAGAGATGCACTGGCTTGTGTGTGTGAACATACTGGATTTAAGATCAAGAGGTCTGGGTTGAAGCCCTGGGCTAGAGTGATTGTGTTGTAGTCTTGGCTTTACCCTCAGAGTGTGTCTCTATACCCAGGAGTATAGATGGCTACTGATGAACTTACCAGTTTTTCATATACATGTGGAGGGAGTAAGGGTACAGTCTTAGTGGTTGAATGGTACGGGACCTGGGAGAAGCTCATGCTACATGGACTAGCTTTGCACCTAGTATATGTAAGGTGACTTTCCAAAACATATGTCTAGTTCCTTACAAATATTTGATAACAAGTTGGTAACAATGGAAGAGGTTAAAATCAATAGATTTTGGAGCAAATTTGTTGTTTTATTCATAATAGCTTGTTATTTTATGTCTCAGGAGTTTTCAGTGCAGCACATGAACTGAAAATGGAGTGGGTCGTCGTCAAGGGTATTTCAGGATATGCAGATGGAACTGAAGAGAGAGAAAACTGGCAAACATTTGCAAGTGTAACAGCAGCTTCTCTTGTTGCCAACATTCTAAACCAGTGCAGTATTTTTGAAGATTGGCTACATTACAAAGGTAAACAGATCAACTTTTATCTTTTTTAGGCCTGCATTATATTTGCTCGCAGTCACTAGCTAGTCTTGTATGCTGTTTAGTTTTGTGTTTTATAAATGTGCTGGAACCGAACTGCCAAAACTAAATTAAAAACATGATTAATGACCTATGATCATGCACTGACAAATCAGAACAGCTCTTGGATCAGAAATGTTACATGTTTGTCAGCAATTTCACCGACTCTGCTAATGTTTGGGATTCTTTTAAGCTTTTGATAGCATTTTCCCTCTGAGAAGAAGACCACCAACCCCCCAATAATACACCTAAAAACTCCTGCCTCACTCACTACTTGACTGCCAACTGAAAGCGTAAGGTTGCCAGTATTTCCTCCTGCTTTTTAGGCTTTGGTCTCCAATGATCGATGAATAGCTAAGTCAATATCAGTTTGCTAGAAAGCAACTTGCCCACCTACTAGAATACAAAGATACAAGAAAAAAAACTTCCTTTTTTAACGACGCTGTCTTTCTACACTGGCTGTTTATTTTACAGAAAGGATAATTTTTTCCAAGTATTTTGCTCTAATTTTAAAAAAACAAGTAAATGATAGGTAACCAGACTAAAGAAAAGAAAAATTCAGTTTGTGTATGTGGGCATCCCTGTCACGTGTAAAACGATATGTATAACATGTAAGGATGCGTAATGTAATCGCAGGAAATGGCCTTAAACGAGGGAAAAACCTTAAAACTTTTAAGCGGAAAAGGAAAATCGCCAAGGCTGTGTAAAGCTTATCATTTGACCGAAAAAATCTGTCCCAATTAGTTTTTTTAAAAATATTTGTGAAGAATGCGATACAAGTGTGCATATGCCACAAGTACCGTTGCAAGTTTTCGTGTTAGTGAATGTCTCTCTTTTTTCCCCAAGTTGTTTATTGTAAGGAAAATATTTTTTTCAAGCTTCTCGGTCGATTGCAAACAAGAGATATAAATGGTACGTCACCAAATCGGTCTACGTGGCGATGACAATTTTTGTTCCTGGTAAAAAAAAAAAAAAAGAGCAAGAAATCTTCCGTTCGCGTATATGGGCGTGCATATTTCGTGTAAAATGATGCACAGTAGGATGCATAATGCAATGGCACGAAGTGGCCTCGAAACCAAATTCCTCAGGAGACGTTTCATGAGAAAAGGAAATAGCTCCATTGCTACTATGAATCTGTTGGTTCGAAAAATCTGGTCTAATTTTTTTTATTTTTACATCTGTTATCACGCAGGGGGTTCTACTAAACATTTGCCTCGGCCAGAGGTGAAACGCCGTGAGGAAGAGTCGTCTCCGAAGGACGCTCTAACTCCAAAGGAAGGAAAAACTCGTTTTGCAGGTAAAATGAGGACATATCTATGGGCGTGCCCAGTGACCCCCACCCCCCAACCCGATCTTTCTTCCCCTTGCCTTGATAAAATAAATATACGTGGATTCAGCAAAATGGCATGAATAGATGCAATATGTACTACACGCTATCCTCTCATCTTGATGCTTTGCTGTGATATCTTAATGTTTGTTGTCAAGCAAGGAGTTCCCAGCGACGAAGATTTAGAGAGACTTTCGCAGAAACTCGAAAAATGGAAGACAGTCGGGCGTCATCTCGAAATTGTGGAAGCAAGATTAACGGCGTTTAACAATGAAAATATAGAATGGTCTGAAAAAATCTTCAAAAGGTTATTACATTAGCAAGAGAGGGAGGGCTCAGCTGCAACATACTCATAAGACACCTAGAATCTCCCGCCTTACCCCTCCCCTCCTTTTAGCCCAACCCCCATTTTATAAACCACACATAACCCAATCGGTCCAACGAGGGGCTAATGTTCGAATTTAAGCTTTAGAAACTCATAGTTACTACAATATTTGAGGTTTTCCCTAATGTTTGTCTTAATAATAATTTCACTTGTCACAGAACAAATCATGTTCGTGAAATGAGCCCACGCTTCTCTCCTTCACGGGAGGATCGAAGACTGTACTCGTGAATTAGGGGCAAATCAAACCCGAGTGATTTTCTTTTCGATGTGGGAGAAAGAATTTTTACCAAGCTACTTGTTTTTTGTCTACAGACTCGTCTGTAACAGAATTTTGGGAATGGTGTCGGAATCAGTTGAAGGCGTTTTACAACACCATGTGTCAAGTGAAAATAACACCATGGGACCCAGACAACACGGTACACATTAATGACATTTACATACAAGTAACGTTTTTACAAGACCACAGGAAACCTGACGGGACAACGAAAAAAAAGCTGGGAGACAGCAGTGAAGTATTTGAAGGTGACAAAGATCATCCCATCCGTAGACGAATTCTGGTGTATGGAAGACCTGGAATAGGAAAGTCTACTTTCACTCAAAAAGTAGCTGTGGATTGGGCAAATGGCAGAAAGAAGATCCTCGAAAAGTTCAATCTTTTACTGTTAATCAGGTTACGAGACGTTTGTGGTATTTCGGACCTCAGTACCATGTTAAAAACAGCGGAACTGTTGTCTGCTGATGACCCGATGGCAGTCAATAACTTGTGTGAATATGTCCGTCAGAACCAGGAGAAAGTGCTGCTCATTTTGGATGGATATGATGAGTACAGCGGTGGAAAATCATCCCCAATTCACCAGATTTGGAGAGGCAGTCAACTGAGAGACTGTTGTATAATAATCACAACGCGGCCAGTGAAAGAGGATGAGCTTAGAGTGCCAAGTCACGCTCAGTTTGAACTTAACGGGTTCAATAGCTGGAAACAGAAGAAACAGTTTGCAAGTAAGATTCTTCCTGATAAGGAGGACGTTAAAGGGCTACTTAAATACCTAATAAAGCATCACCTCGTGCAGATGGCAGAGATTCCGCTATTATTGTTGATGTTGTGTCTTCTCTGGAAAAAGAAAAAGCATCAATTACCAACATCTCGTGCGGAAATTTATGTAGGATTTATTCAGACTCTCTTGGATCATATGGCTACTAAAGACGTAGACAACGTCGCAACAGTTAAAAGCATAGATGAATATCAAGAGGAACTTTCCAAAATAGGAAAACTTGCCTTTGATGCTCTTTTGGAGGACTGCCTTCATTTTGACTTCACCAAATTTCCGCTTGGTGATCTCTTCGAGAAGCTTATTCATGTCGGTTTTTTCCAAGTTTCCAAACTTTCTGCTGTGAACCGTGAGAAGATCGTGTATTTTCTTCACAAGTCCGTTCAGGAGTTTCTCGCCGCCTGGTTCATCGTTCAAGAAGTGAAGGTTAAGAAGAATGAAACCGTCACCTGCTTTTCAGGAATGGATACGTTTGAAAAATCAAGGAAGATGGCTGAAGTTCTAAAATTCGTTTGTGAGTTGTCATCAGAAGCTGCTGGCATTGTTTTTGATCATCTACGTTATGTCGGAAAGAAAGAAGGTCTCACAAATTACAATTTTACTAGGACGGCTTTTGTCAAAGATTTTTCTGATGAACAATACAAGTTTATTGAACTCTGTGTCGATTGTTTGTTCTGTTGTCCAGCCTCAGACAGACTAGCTGTGAATTCTGCATTTCTCTCATGTGTTAACTATGTTGTAATACTTAATCGGAAACACTCGTCTATCGCTGCCAAAACGCACTTCTTCAAATACACCACCAGCTTCCCCAACTATTTATTTTACTCAGATTGGGAGAGTAACTTTGATGATTTTCTATCCATATTGTTTGACTTGAACGCGGTCGTTTTAACGTGCTCTGGAGAAATTAAAGATTTTAAAAAATACCTCGATTTACGCGATCCGGAATTTTTCCTCAAAAAAAGCGAAAAAAAAAACTTTATCTATCTACATCGCATAACAGATGCTGTTTTTTGCTCTAAACTTCTTCCTGAACTGATGTCAGCGCCGGTTTGTTCTTCTCAGCCACCTGTCGATAATCTGGGAGAGAATGAGGACAACAACGTTGCACTGTCTCTGACTGAGAACAGATCTGACCAGGCACAACAACATTGTTTGTCACTGGTGAGAGAGGTTGAGTTAGAGGAGGTCGCAGTTGAGGATTTTGTTCTGTTGAAGAACTTGTTGTCTTTTTTAACAGCTCTTCGAGATATTGATATATGGGGGCGCGGGAGAGATGCCTTGGAAGGTAATTCGATTGAGAACGCGATTCACAGAATTAATTTTACTGACAATCTCCACAGTTTAAAACTTCGCAATATCAATCTAACAGCAAAGTGTGCTGCTTTTATTGCTGAGTCACTGCACCACTCTCCAAACTTGCATGAGCTCTGCTTGTCAGGGAACCCCTTACACAGCGGTGTGAGTCATTTGGCAGAGAATCTTCATCACACTCCACGGTTGACTATTTTAGAGTTAAATGATGTACAAATGGGAGAAAAGGAATGTGCTGCACTGGCTGCCTCATTACAGTACTTAAACAAGTTAGAAAGACTGAGTATGTCAAACAATGCACTGGGTCATGGGATCATTGAACTGGCCAAGAACCTGAACAGTGTACCCAATCTGACTACGCTGCGCCTGTCGGATACAAATATGGGTATAGATGAAGAATCAGCACTGGCTCGTGCACTTAAGGATGTACCAGAGCTGAGAATTCTTGATCTAGCGTCGAATCCACTTAGCGGAGGACTCAGGGACCTGGTTCAGCATCTCAGCAGTGTTCGTAAGCTGAGGTTCCTGTGTCTTTTTAGTGTTCGGATGACAAAGACAGAGTTAAAAGAGCTGCGTAGAGGCATCACTTTGTTCACTGATTACCATGTAAGAGTCTTTTTGTTGTTTCACTCAGTTGTATCTAATCTTTAGTTAGACGTAGAATAGCATTAGATATTGTTTCCAGAAAGTTGCTTTTGATAAAATTTATCAGAGTAGTCTGCATGGGAAAGAATGTAGACATCAGGAACACTCACTGTTTTCGAAATTTTCTATTTCTATTTTGTGACAACAGGAGCCATTGCTGGGGATGGCGGAGACCGTAAACAGCCCATGTTAAGTACTTTAATGGTTCATGTAATGCTTCTTTGACTATGGTTTCCAGAAAAATTTGTCTAAGATTAAATTAAGACGTAAACAAATTTAGCTTTCAAAACTTTGATATTATTTACAGACAGTAGTTTCCAGTGTAGTGGATGCCTGATTACTGAAACCTAATTGAAAACTTTGGGAGTTTGATTCATTCGGGTTCATTCGATTGGCCTTTGAGTTTTAGCGAAATCTTGTTAGGGAAATCTTCTGTAGCTATTCCTTACATAAGAGAGAGAAAAAAAGATGAATTGTGAGAATTTTTCTCGGACCAAACTTCTTTGCGCAATGTTAAATTTTGAGTTTTTTAGGCTTGTGTTGTTATTATGAGATGCTTTTATTTGGGTTTGATTATGTGACCTGAAATTACTGTGAACCCATACATGCTTTGGATTTGATGACGTTGTTCCCTACAATCTGTACCAGAATCTACTCGTTTATATTAACAGGAAGCGTTAACCCAACAAAATAGAAAGAACCAAACAAAAAAGGTTTTTTCTTGTTTAAATCCAAATGCGTGTTTTGAAAAGCGAAAATCGTGTTGATTCTATTGTCATAAATTTACGTTTTAAAGGTTTGTACTGGCGCTTACGCCTGACGCACAGTAATACTTCATTCTTCAAGCGCTAATTTCACAGGTTCCAGGCGTCAGGCGTAAGCGCCCTGCTAGAAAACAAACGAAAAATCAAAAGAAATCATTTAAAAGCTTAAACTTCATAGGCGCAACCCGTGACACGTGGCTACTAGTCAAACTCGGCACTGTGCTATAATTTATTCACTCTTAAATGGTTTCCTTATTCTTATTTATCAGTTGGATTCTTTTTAAGTGTCTCGTATATGATTCAAACGGTTTTGTCAGAAAAGTACGGTTACATTGAGAGGAAAGTTCTTTACTTTTGGGAAAGTCAAGGGTAACATTACATCGAGGACTCCGGGTCATCAAAAAGAAATATTTAGGGTTGTTTGTCTTTCAATCGTGCAACAATTATGTTGGTGGAGAGGTGAACTGGAGTAAAACCCGTTGCGTGTAGTCCTGTAGGGTTGGAAAATTGTTAAATCGTTGATTTACTCTCGGGCAGACAATAGCTTAGCTAATACTTTGTGTGTGGAAAATAAAATAATTTCGAAGATATTAGACAGTTTTCCTCCCTCTAAAAAAGTTAGTATTTATTGTAATTTATGTGTTTGTTTGTCAACCTTCACCTCATCTTAATCGTCAGGGAGCATTGTTTTTTGTTATTTGTAACTGAAATCGTTTTCCTTGTTGTAAAATGGTTTTAGTCACTTGTAGCTATTTGAATTCAAAAGTGAATGTCCTCTTTCACTGCTCGCTATAAGGACAAATATCTTTGATTGCGTGAAATATTTATGTAGTGTGTTAAAATGTAAGTTGAGTGTTACATAGAAATTAATGAAACAGGTGTATTTTGCCATAGCGAAGGAGACGTAATATTCCGATATACGTGGGGAGAATCAAGATCCTTTAGATATTTATCTGGTGTGAAAATGCCAGTTGAGAGTTTCACATAATTGGTGCTGTGGTTGATGTTGTGTCCTTTTTTTGTCCTGTGATAGGAAAATGAAATAGGAGATGAAGGGGTGAGCAAACGACTTCTTACAAAAGCTGTGTTGCAAAAAGAAGGAATAACGTTCAGAAAAGAACCAGATGATGATGATGACGATGATGATGATGATGATGACGATGACGATGACGATGATGATGATGATGGTGATGATGATGATGATGATGATGATGATGACGAAAGTGAGGATGATGACGATGATGACGATGACGATGATGATGATGTTGACGAAGACGAAGATAGTGAGGATGATGACGATGATGACGATGATGATGATGTTGACGAAGATGAAGATAGTGAGCATCTCGATGATGATGATGAGGATGATGGCGATGATGAGGATGATGGCGATGATGAAGTTAGTGACGATCTCGATGATGATGAAAATGAGTAAGCGCTCTGAAAAAAGGTTTCTGTGGCAACTGATTTAGCGAGCAGTAAGAAGACTGATATTTCAGAATATAATCCATCAAATATTTTTGCTTGCGCGCGGGATTGGTCTAAATGCGTCACGTGACCGAATATAAACCAGCTAAAACTAGAGAATATCCGTGAATACACTCCAAGTGACATTCCCCGATTTTCAAACCTTAACGTCCACTACAATAGAAGTCTTCGTTTCCAATTTAATTCAAGATTAGAGAGCGTTTTGTGGTTGTTACAGAAGGAAGGACATGTTTTTGTGTTCATACAGTTGTACCAGCGAACACTGAAAAGTGAACATCCTTCGTAATGAACGTTGAACTGTTCGTAAACACTTTCCCCGCGCGTTGCAAAAATAATTGAAGAAAGATGAACACAATAGCCTCTATTTGGCGCAAAAATCAAGATCCTTTAGATATTTATCTGGTTGATGTTGAGTCCTTTTTTTGTCCTTTGATAGGGAATTAAAAGAGATGGTTTAAGGGTTATCAAACGACTTCTTACAAAAGCTGAGTTGAAAGAAAGAAGAATAAGGTTCAGAAAAGAGCCAGATGATGATGATGACGATGACGATGATAATGATGGTGATGATGATGATGATGACGAAAGTGAGGATGATGACGAAGATGAAGATAGGGAATTGAAACAGGAGTTGGATGGAGGATCCATCGACTTCTTACAAAAGCTGAGCTGAAAGAAAAAAGAATAAGGTTCAGAAAAGAGCCAGATGATGGTGATGACGATGACAATGATGATGATGATGATGACGAAAGTGAGGATGATGACGATGACGATGATGATAATGACGAAGATGAAGATAGTGAGCATCTCGATGATGATGATGAGGATGATGGCGACGATGAAGTTAGTGACGATCTCGATGATGATGATGATGAAAATGAGTAAGCGCTCAGAAAAAAACGTTTCTGTGGCAACTGATTTAATGAGAAGTGAGAAGATTGATATTTCAGAATATAATCCACCAAATATTTTTGCTTGCGCGCGGGATTGATATCAAAACGTCACGTGACCGAATATACATCAACTAAAACTGGAGAATATCTGTGAATATACCCTAAGTAATATTCCCCAATTTTCAAACCTTAACGTCCACAACAATAGAAGTCTTCGTTCCAAATTTAATTCAAGATTAGAGAGCGTTTGGTGTTCATACAGCTGTACCAGCGAACATCCTACGTAATAAACGGTGAACTGTTCGTAAACACTTTCCCCGCGCGTTGCAAAAGTAATTGAAGAAAGAAAAACACAATAGCCTCTATTTGGCGCAAAAAAATTCTCGTATAGTTGTCCTTAGACATTATCGGTTGCTCTAAGCTCTCACTTTTCCTCCAGCTTCACTCTCGGAAACTGTTCGCATCTCGGAACAGATAATGTCCGAACAGCAACAAAAACAAACACCATCGTGCATATATTTGCGCCAAATGAAGACTAGTTTATTTAGAATTTCGGAAATTGCTGGACGTATTTCCCGTCTCTTATGGCGCTATGTCTTTATTTCAGCATAACGTATAGGAGTGGCGTCCAGTTCGAATTGGAACCTTAGATAATTTGCCGACGGTATTTCGCTTCTGATCACAGATCAGGCAAATTTTCGTGATTTCACGTTGTTGTTTCACAGTGGACGGCTGAGAGATGAACAGAGTTTTAAAATGCACGCGCTGAGCGACTGTTTTGCTCAGTATTTAAATCTTTTGTTTTTGCCACATCCTCGTTGCCGTTGTCGTGGTCTCCTGAAGTTCCCTAATTTTTAGTTCCGCGTGAAACGTCTTATATTGTTACCGGAAATGCAAGTTCTTTTCAGCAATAAAATACCGAGTTGTTACTCAGTTTTTTTGCCGATCAGAACGCTAAACGAATTTCTTAGGATATCAGAGTAATAGAGAGGAATAGTTTAGCATAGATTCCAAAAGTGACTTTTTTACGCGAAGAAAGAAAGGCCCCTCTATTCGTCTGTGCCAGGCTCTCCTTTTATGGAAACGGCCAAAAGAGGAGTGAGCTGAGACATTGGAGGTCTCGGGAATAGTGAGAGGAGCTTCCTTTCCTTCCCAAACCCCAATTTTCACTCTTCCAATAATTCGATCTTTTCCAGCAACTGAGACCCTGGTAGAAGACGAGCTCAATTTTTTCAAGTTAATTAATTCAAATTACTCAACTCAATTAATTCAAACTTATTAATTCAATTAATTTTATTGATTCTAATCAGCTGACAAGCTCATTTTGTCCTTACAAAAAAAGCTGACTTTAAGAAAAGGAACAGATGAATGATTCCTTGAGCTTGGATCAGTTCACAGGCAGCGTTGTGCTTTCAAGTAGGCTTATTTTGTGATGCTTTACATTGATGATGCTTGAAACTGGAGATGTATGGAAAATCTTTCGTGATCAGAAAAGTTTAAGTCGATAATTGGTGTTACAAGCTTAAATGCTTGTTTGTCTCACTTGTCATTGTAAATAGCAATTTAGTTGGTTTATTTTTACCCAACGTTGTGACTTTTTTTAGCCTCACTTTTATTGATTTATTAAAAGGATTTTTGTGAAATATCCTTGTCTCTTTGTAGTTATAGAAAGTACAGATGGCATGAGTGGTTGAAAAAGACCCTGGATACGACCTCTATTCTTGTTGCCTGGATCCTAAAGCACAGCCATTGAAACAGTTCTTTTACAGCTCAACGCACCGCGCACAGAGTGATATTTGTGTGCAGAGTTTGAATTCAAGAGACTAGTATGTAGTCTTTAGTTCGATATAGGCAGCCCCTGGATGAGAGGAAAAACTGGTTCATTTTCTTGGTTTTGATTTGCATTTTTTTCCTCGATAATTTATCGCAGAATCTGTCGGCCTGACTTGTGTAACAATAATGCCTTTCGTGTCTCACCGAGCGACCATTTTTAATATTGTTTTTGATGATTTGTTTTTGTTTGCATGTTTGTTTTTTTTCCTATAACTACCGTCGTTCCTTAAGTTGTTTCATTCAATCGGCAGGCATTAAAAGACATCTAAACATCCTCTCCTTTTTACTGCTGTGATTTAATTCTATCAAGTGCTAAACCTGGCGACGAGAAAAACACAAAAGGCGGAAAAAAAGACAGAAATCATTGCAATCAGTCTCCATTTTTGTCGTTTGTCCCCTTCCTCCCCCATTTCTCTTCCGCAAGAGCGCACCAAAGCAAGCTTGATATCCCAAACATTTATGATATTTCTCGTGCACAGCCTACGATAGTTAGGTAGGTTTCGGGCTTAATTCTCCCGAAAGGGGATTTTGCTTGCGCCAGCTATTAAATAATCAGAAGAGTAGATTGGTTTCTTTTTTCGAATTATTTTATTTTAGATCACATTCAAGTTGTTTTGCAGCCCAATTGGTATCACGGACAACACACAATTTTCACTTCATATATAAAATCAACATCATATCCATTGGCGGAAAACGTGTTACATAACTTTAAGGTTGTTAACTCATTGCAAATTATAATTAACTGGAAGCTGATATAATGCCACTGCTTAAAAATTGAACCAGTGTTCATGATAAGGGATAACTTTAGAGGCTTTACATAACGCTACACTTTGATAAGGTGCTAGCGACCCCGCCCAAGACTGGTATCATTTGCAGCTCTCTATCAAAGAATCCCGGCTTTTGAACTTACTGTTGTCGGCTCTGATTGAGTAGCAGCTGTTGTCTCAAGCTCTCCACTGTCTTCTCCATGCCTTCATTTGATTTTTGCATTTGTGCAAGTCGTTGACTGAGTATCTGGCTTTCTTGCATGAAATTTCGTCGGTGTTTTTTAACTTCCATCATTCTCGCCTTTACCATGTTCTCCATTTGTTGTCGTTGGACCGCTGCTTCAGCTTCCATCTGTTCATGGAGTCTCTTTTTTTCTTCCTCCTGTTTTGCCTGCAGCTTTTTTCATGTAATTACCAAACAGGAAAAAGTTCAGGTCAGACAGCTATAGGAGAGTCATGATGAAAAATAATATGGCATCTACTCTTGTTCACCTCTGTGCTAAAATCATCAAAATTCTCTGTTACTCAGTATGAATTTCTGATAAAAATACTGTACAATCTTTCACAAAAAACACCCAATGGGATATATTCTTGCTAGCGTGATTTAAACTAAAGATATATTTTAAGGCATTTGAAGGTGAATGTTATTATGAGGCAATATTCCTATAACAAAGAAATTAAGGAATAATGAATCTAATTTGACTCATCACAAAATTACATTGGAATGGAACCAAGAGAAAATGAGCAGGCAGAGAGGGCGGCCCCTGCACCAGGACTCGTTCAGACAAGATGTCAGCCTTTTGTTTATTTTTATTTCACCTGCCCTGGTACCAAATCGGATGTTACTCAAAAAACCTAGTTCCCAGGAATGAGTGTGCTCACGCTTAATTAAAATGCTTATTTTTCTACGTATTTAATTGGATTTCACTATGTTTAATCGCCGTAAAATTCGTGTGTCTGCGCTTTCTGGAATCAAAGATGTGCATGTTTAGCGCTTCCGTCTGAGAAGGCAAAACTCACAAAAAGCAGTCAATGGTCCTCTTTGTTCTTTTATTCTATTTTTATGATCTGGACAAATGGAAATCGTCAAATGATAGATTTGACGATGGTAGATTATTTTTGAAGCGTAGAGGGATTTCTTAAGTGATTTTGAAAATGTCGGATCAATGTCAGAATCTGATCAACTGCAAACCTACCCCTCCCCTGACCCAACATTAACCCTAACTTGTTATTGTTTGATTGTTGTTGAGTTAGGGGAGGGGTAGGTATGCAGTTTCTCAGATACTGACATTGACTCAAAATGTCTTACTTCCTTATGGCGCTGACGATTTTCTTGTTGCAAACGTTCGTGTTCCTCCTTAAGAAAGAACGAAATTTAACGTCAGTTTAAGCTTTGTCCAGCAGATGACGAAATTCTATTGCGTGTAAAAAAAAATTTTCCCTCTCACCAAGAATGAATCATATCCTCGCCATTACATCTGAATTAATCCAGCAATGTTTTTGACAAAGAACAGAAAAAGAAAGCATGAACTTCAATCAGCTTTTGTTCTCTTAATATGAAGTTGATTGAGTTTGAGAAAAAAAGTTGTAATTATTCCATAGATTCTTTCCGTTCCTCGAAGAATGGAGTAGAACTTCAAGAAATAAATTTCCATTTCATTTCCCATTCCCTATTTCTTATTCTCCTTCCCTATTCTAAATTCCTCTTTCTCCATTCTTCATTCCCTATTCTCTGTTCCCTATTCATCATTCGCAATTTTTTTCCCTTAAAAAGAAATATGATTGATAAGTCGATTAAAATTGCATCATCAGTACCTCAAGTTTTATCTTCTCTTGCTCTTGATAGGCTTTGGCGGCAATTTCTCGACTCAAGTTCTCGTCAAAGTCCTTTAATTGTTTCAGCACGCCCAAGTATTGTTGCATTTCTGTCATAAGTTCCTGTGATAAAAGTAGAACTTTCGCTTACATCGTTGCTTTGTCTGTTGGTTTTATTTGTGGTAACTACCAAGAGATTATAAAGTTATATTCTCTTGTAACTACATAATAGTTACTAAGACCAAGAATCGCAATGTTCTTGTATTAAAGGAACTGAATTCGGTTGGTATTTTCTTTTTGTCCATGAAACTATTAATGTCATGGAAAAAAAAGGAAGGCACAGATTAGAAACCTTTTAACTCATTAATTTGTCTCATTTTTGGTCTGAATTCTTAATTTTGATGGTCCTTCTTGATCAGTCAGTAAAGTTAGGTCGTTCTGTTCGGTTCGTTTCTAATGTTAATGTCGTGAATGAGTCGTTTGTATGGTGCCGGTAGTGGTTGACACCTGTTGAAGGGAGTCTGTTCTGAGTTAGTTAGCCAGCTTTTCAGAGTAAGTCGTTGAAAGTAGTTGGTGCTGTAGGTTTGGCATATAAATTTCGCAGCGTCCCAGTCAGAAGCGTGGTTCGTAAGTCGGTATTGTTCATCAATGTGATTGTTAAAATGTGACTGTTAATGTTTACCCTAACAACATCAACAGCGACGATGGAATAGAAATTTCTGAACCGTTGATGCCCTCGATCAAAAAACACAACAACCGGAGAGCCGTAAGAAAGCGGACCGCCGTGGGAATAATGCACGAACATCGAGGATCGAAACGCGCTAATCATAGCTGTGAAAAAAAATAAACCAATCACAGCGGAGCATCCTGCTTATTAAGAAGACCCGAAACCAGTCGAACTTATCGCCTGATGAAGACTAGCAGTATGCATTCGCGATTCACATTATAAGTGACCACATCGTGGGACAAACGATAATACATTATTATTATTATTGTACTTTACCACGATGAACAAGCACAACCTTTATGTCATTTGTGTAATTTAGAATTAACCTAAATTATTATTTTGCCGGCACGCATCGGTGAACTGGGTTCTAGTGTAGCGCGCGTGGGACCGCGGCTAGGGGGTTTGAAATAGTGACCGGTTAGTTATGCGTGTCATTCTATCGTCAGCCTCGCCGCGTCATCTTGCTTGGTTTGGTTCTCTCTGTTTTTTCCTTCGCCGTGGCTATGGATGAAGCTAAAGTTTCCAGCGTGATTACGAAAAGCAACAAAGAGCTCCTCTATCAATTTTTTTTTGGTTTACGGGTTTGTTTGTTCCTTACCGTCTTTATGACGCCCTAGATGGGTTCAATGTCTATACCCTTGGTGGGTTCATTCTTGTGCCCCTGATGGGCAGAATAAAGATTTGGATTTCAGGTTGATAGTATTACGAAGCTGTCTTTAGATTATTTAAATGTTCTGGCTGATTATTGACCTTGGATGGGTTCCACATGTCTATGCCGTGGACGCTGTCATTGACGTGCCCCGAATGGACTCTATTACCCTAGTTTTATACCCCTGATGGGCTCAACGTTTCCCTTGCAGTTTGGTTTTTTCTGCGTCATACCCTGGACAGGTAGTGATCTCTTTTGTTATCCCCTGGGGGTCCCGCATATGGGTTAGCTCAACAGTGTTCTTACTTTATTGTTTAAGATATCTTCTCCTCTGGGTTTTGGTCTTCTGAAAGCTCCGACGACTGTCAGGTCAACCAGCTGAGGCGAAAGCTCAAGCTTACGGTGCTTGCTTCGAGGGCGTCCGGGTCATCGGAAAACTATTTGAGGGCCTTCAACATATGGGCAGAGTTCGCCAAGGGCGTGTTGGGCGTTCCCACTTTTCCTGTCGGTCCCATGGATTGTGCTCTCTAACTGCAGTTTCTTCTACAGTAATCGGAATAAGTCGGCGTCTGCCATCAACTGCGCTTTTTACGCTTTCAAGTGGCCGCATCAGGTTGCAGGAGTGGATTCTCCTACCCTACACCCCACCGTTATCTCCGCGAAGAAGGGAGCTCTTCCTCTTGTTCGCCAACTAGCCTCTCATAGGAAAGAACCCCTCGAGGTGACCCATCTCAAGCAACTTGCTGAAAGGACTGACTTTGGCAATATTTTGCATTTAAGAAGCTTAGTTATGTTCGTCCTCGCCTTTTCCGGCTTTTTCAGAAGTTCAGAATTATGTCTCATTTGTATTAAGCATGTTCAATTCTTTTCTAGTTGCGTTACTATTTTTATTGAGAAAAGCAAAACGGATCAATTAAGAGAAAACCGTGCTGTCGTCATCGCCGAAACCCGTTCGTCTACTTGTCCTTGCGATCTTCTCATGGCGTACATGAGCAAAGCCCATAGAGCCGGGAATTCTGACGACTATCTTTTTCGTCCTATTTGGTCTTCAGAAAATCGTAAGCGTTTAGTTTCGGTTAACAAGCCTATCAATTACTCTGCGTACAAGGATTCTTTTAAGAAGTCTTTTTCGGATATTCTACCTGACATATCAAGGTTTAGTACTCATTCCATGAGATCAGGAGGAGCTACTTTGGCAGCCAATTCAGGCGTTTCGGAGAGAAACATTCAGCGTCACGGTCGCTGAGCTTCCCCAGAAGCTAAAAACATCTATATATGTTAAAGACTCGCTATCTAGCAGGCTTGAAGTCTCTAAATCTCTGTCCCTCTGAGCTCAAGCCCTTTCTTTTACTATCTAGCATGGGCCCAGCTGACCGACGCGCCCATGCCTCCAAGCGTTGTTTTGTGTGTTCGGTTGTGTAATGGAGGCAAAATATGTAATTTTTGTAAATTAGAATTGACATAAATTATTATTTTGTCGGCACGGAACGGTGAACTGGGTTCTAGTGTAGCGCGCGTGGGACGGCGATTAGGAGGTTCGAAAGAGTGACCGGTTAGTTATGCGTGTCATTCTACATTCGGCCCCGTCGCGTCATCTTGCTTTGTTTAGTTAAGTTTTCACTTATTCTGTTAGCCATAATCTCGTTACCATCCGTGGTGGTCCCTTCTTTCTTAGCTATTTTATGTAGCATCTCGTTTTCTACTCATATTCATGTTTTTAGGCTTTATTTTATTAGTTTTGCTTTATAACCCCAAAGGCGACGCCATGGCATAGGTTGGGGTTACACGGTCATTATTTTTCCAATAGTTGTTTTTTTCGGGTTTACGTGTCCGGCCGTGGCGTGTTCTTAGAATTACTGTAACAGTGGATTTTTATCACGTGAGTTAATAAAATGTATCATGGGGGCCTGGCTGACCGACGCGTCCATGCCTCCAAGTGTTGTTTTGTGTGTTCGGTTGTGTAGTGGAGGCAAAATTTTACGAAATGTGACTGTTGACATCGCCTTTCCTCGTCGCTCGCTTGTGCTCAGTCAGTTGTGAGGTTTCTGCCAATCTCACCGATGTAGAAGGCGTGGCACTCGGAGCGACTGATCTTATGAACGGCTCCCTGTCTGTTCCTCGGTTCGTCTTTGTCTGTGACGTTAGTAACTGACGTAGTGTAGTAATGGGTTTGTAAGCGACGTGGATGCGCGAGATGATTTCAAATATGCCATTTATGTACGGTGTAGTAGGAGGATTGCGTTGTCGTTAGCTTCGGTAGTGGTAGTAAGTCGGTGAGTGTCTCCTAATAATATGATTTATTCACAGCATATCAACAACAAAAGATGGGGCTCTTCACCTGTGAAGGTCCTACAAAAGTGCTATCTATAAAAATTTAGATGTATTAGACAATACTCAAGAAAATTTATTACAAAACTACTAAGTTACTGTATGATCTATACGCTTTTGCGGATATTTAATGAATGAATTCAAAAGCGGGCTTGAAGAAGGAAAGGTCTTACAAGGAAGACAAAGCACGCGCTTTCAAAAATGTTTTGAAGAACCTACAGTCTTCCCTGAAGTTCGAGTAGTTTCTTATTTTGATAGGCAAATCATTAAAGACCATGGCTGTAAAGTGCCTTGAACTGGTGGAACAAGTAACCTTGGCGCTACATCAGAATGAAGATGTCTCAAAGGCTTTACGACTTGAAGATTTTAGTAGGAAGGCCAGTTATAAGTATAGAGTGCTTTGAAGACAGTCTTTAAAAGTGAAAAGTCCCTAAGCTCCAGAATAGGTAGCCAACCAAGATTTAAAATAGTGGATAATACTGTTTACATACGTAGTTAAAAAAAACTAGCGATAGCGAACTAGAGCCTTTGTAGTCTGGCTGTGAGGAACTTCGGTAGAGGATCAAAGCAATATCACAGTAACTGATCTTAGATAAAATTAGTGTTTCTCCCAAATGTTTACGTAATTTGAAGTAAGTAAAGTTCCTTATTTTCTTTAAAATCCTCAGAGTCGCGTAGCAGGATTTAAAAATAGAATTTATATGAAATTCCCATTTAAGATTTGAGTCGATGTGTACTCCTAAGAGTTTTGCTACATCCAAACGTTCAAGTGAAGTGCCGGAGATCTTAAGTACGAGCTCCAAATTCCCAATGGAATGCACACATGCTACCTGTGAGGAGGAGATTAGCATCGCCTTGGTCTTTTAGAATTGAGGGCCAGGTTCGAGTCATTCGACCAGTCGCCAAGGCTTACTAGGCTTGTATTCATGCCTTCTACCTGATATGAAATCTGCGACGCAATACAGCTGGCGCATGTCATTGTGTCGTTGGCATACTGGGAGCTTCTAACTGCAGGTGGAAGGATGCCTTGAAGATCCGCGACGTGGTGATTGAACGACATCGGTCCGAGGATTGAGCCCTGAGGAATTACAAACTAGGATAGTATAGGTGACGACTTGCGGTCATCGATCTGAACATGGTGTCTCCTGCCGGATAGGTAATTAGCTAACCATTCAAGAACACTCTTTGAAAACAGAGGTGGTACAGCCTGGTTATCATCGTTTTAAAGCAAACAGCGTCAAATGCTTTTGTTAATACCGGTCCCGGTTGTGGATGGACATCGCCACAGGCCATTAACAACTGATAAGTCGCAATACTTTTGGAATAATACGCGATCCTGGCCTTTCTGCGTTTAGTCTTTGTGTTCTTAGTGTAGCGCACCGAATTATGACGACAATCTATCATCGATAACAA